CAGATGGCCACTGGTGCCCTCCAGACACAACAGCTCCGGTGCCCAACGTGCCGGGGTTTGGATGATCGCTCCAGCGAACACGTGCACAGCTGGCGACACGGCGTGAGCTTTGCTCTGCTGAGGAAGGGGCTGGGGAGATGTTGTGTGTAAGGAGCATTCATTAGTGCCGTTGGCTTGTGCAAATTGGAACAGCTGCCTCATTTTTCCAGTCTGTTATTTCATAGATTCATAGATTTCTAGGTTGGAAAAGACCTTAGAGATCATCCAGTCCAACCGTCCCTAATCCCCATTAAACCATATCCCTAAGGAGTTCATCCACCCTATTCTTAAACACATCCAGGGATGGGGACTCAACCACCTCCCTGGGCAGCCTATTCCAGTGGCTGACAACCCTTTCAGAGAAGAAATACTTCCTAACATCCAACCTGAATCTCCCCTGACTGAGCTTATTCCCATTTCCTCTTGTTCTATCACCCATCACTAATGTAAAGAGTCCTTCCCCTACCTCCCCACCATCCCTTCTCAAGTATTTGTAGGCCGTAATCAGGTCTCCCCTCAGCCTCCTCTTCTCCAGGCTAAACAGCCCCAACTCCCTCAGCCGCTCCCCATAAGTTTTATTTTCCAGCCCCTTGACCAGTTTAGTCGCCCTTCTTTGGACTCGCTCCAGGAGCTCAATATCTCTCTTAAAGCGAGGGGCCCAAAACTGGACACAATATATGTGCCGGACCAACTCAAAGTCCAGACATTAAAGGCCTGGATTTGTCCCCTGCTGTCCTGCATCAGCTGAGTTTCCAGGTCTCCAGAGAAAAGTCCCAGAGCCCCTGTGAATCCAGATGTTTTGCTGAGCCCAGTGGGATGTACCTTGTGTGAGGGAAAGCAAATCCTGTGGGCAGAGCGGAAGCTTAGAAAGGGGAAGATGAATTATTTGTCTGAAACAGAGGGAAAAAAGGGGGGGGGTTGTGTGTATGATGGAGAGAGAAGAGAGCAAAAGCAAATTAGATTTCTTTCTTTTATTATACAGGATCGTATGTACAAGGTCACCTTTCTCCCAGACATCAGCATCACAGTCAGTTCATAGCAAAAAAACCTGCAGCTCATCTCTCCAAGCCTAGAAAACAGCTCTACAACGGCTCAGTACAACACCACGGAGAAATTGTACGGGAACTGGGAAAAGGTAGGGGAAAGCACGGTTATCCCTTTAATCCCTCATGAATTACTGGAAACTAAGAAATGCAAATAAAACATTGTGCTTCAAGAGCCATGCTTGCTCCAGGATGGCCCTCGGGGCAGGGAAGCATTGCCCCCCCGGACCTGTTTTCCCCTTCACCCTTCAAAGAGAGATGCTGTAGATGTTCTCAGAACACTCTGCACGACCTGGGGGGGCCACGCGTTCGGTTCCGTGGGAGGGTTTGACCACGGAGAAGGTGCGGACGGTGTTCTGGAATCAAAGCACTGATGTGTGTGTGTTTCGGAGGGGCAGTGGGGAGACGGGCAGGAGATATTGGATGGGAATAAAGTGCTGCGTGAGTTTCAGTCCCATCTGCCCCTGGACTCAGGAAAACTGGACAAGCCCACGAAGGAGGGACGAAGAGGAAGAGAAAGGCTGAGAGACCTTGTGGGTGTCGGGGGGCTCTCAGGACCAGCCACGCGCCGGGAGGTGGTGGGGCACAGGCAGGTGGATGTTGGGCAGGTGCGGACACCCGGTGGGGCTGGGGCAGGAGGAGCACTGGCGAAGGGGCTGATGTCCCTGGCACTGGGCTGGAGACGCGGGTGGATCACATCCCTTCCAGGGAGCAGCTGGTCTGAGAAAAGGGTCTCATCCACATGTGCTGCACCCCCTCCCTCGGCAGTGCCGTGCTCAGCCTTTACTCAGCGGCTTCCCGGTGGAGAACGAGGAGACCAAACGATTGAAGATGATGTATGCTTTGTTCCTCCTGCTTGAGATCACTTGTTTTCCAGGGGGCAGCTCCCCTTCCCCTTCCCCGCTCTCCCAGCAGCAACAAAGAGCACAGCACCGGCAGTGGCTCCTTGCCACCGGGAAGGGACCGCGTACCCGTGGCAGCTCGTGGGGTAACAGAGACACACCAGGAGGTGACCAGTCTGGGGGGCATAGCTCACCCCACACCCTTAACATGACCTTTAGTGTGAGAACACCAATTGTCCAAACTGAGACAGTACTTCTCCCCCAGTTAGCAAATGCTCTGGCTCTCACCTAGCATGGGATAAAAGGTCTTTATTGGGTCAGGCTTAGTTCTCCCTCCTCTCCTGCAAAAAGCTCTAGAACATCTCTAGAACATCTCTGACTCTTGGGGTGACACAACCGCTCTCCCGTTACCCAGTTGGTGACGGTCATGGATTCTGCGGGGTTTGGTTCCTGCAGAGCTCTGAACCCATCGCACAGGGTAGTGGGGGGGTCACTGGGATGATGAGTTTTCTTTGTCTTCGCTTTACAGATGGATGGAAGATGTCGGGCCATGTTTCTCCTTTTGAATGCCAGGTAGAGATGACAGCAGCACTTCGATTCAGCTTGTCTTGCTCAACGTGCCAGGACAGGGGTCAGCCTCGTGCGTTCCTCACGCCGGTGCTCACTGCTGTTCCGAAAGAGCTGCCAGGAGAGAAGAGGGGACGGCGGGGGGGAAAATGTACATCATTTCCCTTGAACCTCAAAGGTTTGTGATTTAGGAGAGGGAGGGAGGGGCTGATCAGTGGCCCAGCTGAGTAGCCAGGCTCAGTGTTAGGAAAACACAGAGGATCTGTGGAAAAGAGCATCTTCTGAAGCAGCAACCCCCCCATCCCAACGTGCATGGAACGAAAGGTTCTGCGTGAGCTGTACCTGGTTACTGTAGTCTGGCGTCCTCCACGTCTGTGTAATGGCTGTTCTCCTGGAGGGAAAAGAGAACCAGAAACAGTGAATCACCACGTGTCCCCCCTGCCCTGCCTGGGACACTGTCACACCTCATGCGTGGTGACCAGCTGGTACCATGGGGTGACAGAACGATGTCAGGTGGCTCAGCGCGGTGGAGGAGCAACAAAACACAACTGATAAGGTGCTGTGGCTGGGGCAAACCCACAACTTCCCTCTGGCTCCTTATTCTGGAAGGGCTTGGCCAAACAGACCTGGGAAGCCTGATTCCCTCTTGAAGTCAGGCTCCTGCTCAACCTCAGAGGGACTGGGATGAAATGAATGCCACCTTTCCTTGCCTGAAGTCAAGTGTCTGATCTGGGCTACACCCAAGTCAGCAGCTCCAGTGGACCTGTCCCAGGGAAGGTTGTGCCACGAGTTGCCACGTTAGACTGGATGCCTAATGTCTGCCCGGCCACGGTAAGTCCGTGCTCAGCACTTTCATAAAGTTCACCGCGTGTGCTCACACAGCTCATGCCTTGTTGCAGCACTGTGAGAAGTTAATTTGGGACCTTGGAATGTCCCACACCAGGGGCTGGGCATTCCCGCGTCACTGGAACTGCCCGCTGATGCTCAAGGTGCGGCCAGTCCGCACCGGCAAATCGTGCGCGATGGAATGACTCTGCTGTTGGACGCGGCCATGTCCCAGTCTGCAGCACAACTCATCACCCCATGACAACACTCACAATACCCATCACCCCAAAGGCCACGCGGACAGTCCCGGCTGCTGAGCCGCTCTTGGCGCCACGGCCGTTCTGGAAGCCCAACAGGTGAACGTTCCCTCCTGGGGCCGTTCTGCAGTGCCATCTCATCAGGAGAACGAGGTGCTCAGCAGTGGTGTGTTATCATCTCCTGCACAGGCCAAATTTTGCGGTGAACATTGTGGAGCTGGAAATGGCTCCAGGATCTCCTGCAGGGGCTAGAAGGGAAGGGAAGGAGCCCAGTCCAGCCCTGTAGCAGCAGGACGGGGGAAGCAACAGGGCACTGGGGGAAAGAAATGGATTTCTACGGTCAGGGAGACTGACGGGGTCTTGGCAGAGACCGTAGAGGGGAAAAGCCTCAGGACTGCAATGTGTGAAGATGGGAGAGCTGGAGACTATGCTGGGAGGAGCTGTGGATGGAGCCTCCCAAGAGAGGGAAGTCTGGAGGCTTGTGACTTCTGGCAGCAGAACAAAGGCTTCTTCCCTGCAATGCCAGCGCAGGCAGTGCCCAGGGAACAGGCTCTTTGGGAATGCCAGGTGAGGTGGCACGTGCTCTGGGCGAAGGAATAGCCCAGATGCACAGGGATTTGCCAGGGAACAGGTGACATGTCAGCTGAGAGCTTGCAGGTGAGGATCAAGGGACAGAACAACGCGGGTGACATCATGGCAGGCATCTCCTACAGACCACCGGATGCGAAGTCTCCTCCGGACGGCTGGGGGAAGCCTCCTGATTGCAGGCCCTGGTACTCCTGGGGGACTTCGACCACCTCAGCGTTTGCGGGAGGGCAGCAGGGCTGGGTGCAAGCAAGCCAGGAGATTGCAAGCAAGACCTGGAGAGCGTCAAGAACAATTTCGTGACACAGCTGGATGACCAGCTGACCAGGGGAGACATTCTTCTGGACTGGTACTGATGACTGAGGAAGAACTGGTCAAAGATGTGAAGATGGAGAGAAGTCTTGGTGGCAGTGACCATGAGACTGTGAAGCTGAGTATCCTGAGAGAAGCGATCAGGATAAAGAGCAGAATCAAATACTTGAACTTAAGAGAAAATGTTTTGGGTTTTTCAGGTATTGGATAGCAAAATCCCATGGGATACTGCTCCGGAGGCCAAGGAGGCCAGGGCATCTAGGTCATCTTCAGGGACACCTGCCTTGAAGCACAAGAATGGCCCTTTCTCATGACAGTTGGGCAGGTGTGGCAGAAAGCCAGTGTGGATGAACAGCAAGCTCCCAACTCAGCTTTTTCCTACATGAAAAGGCAGAATCCAGAAGATGGAAAGCAGGGCTGAGCCACGCAGGAGGAATATAGAGCCATCCCAGTGTGCAGTGACGGAGTTAGAAGAGCACCTGTAGGTACGCCAGCGGCAAAGGCAAGGCTAAGGAAAGTGTAGGCTCACTGCTTGGTGGGGCAGGGGACCAAGGGACCTAGTGACAGCACATGAAAAAGGCCAAGGTACTCAATGCTGCTTTTTTTTCTTGTTGGTTTTCACTGGTCCAGTCTTCCTGACCTCCTGGGTCCCCAGGAGCACCATAGCTCCCAGCAAAGCACCACTCTGCTCAGCTGTAGTCTTTTCACATGAGCTCTGGTTCAGTGAACTCCCCTACGAACAGGGATGCTGCAGCCTCCTGGTCCCCAGGAGACATCCCACAGGTGTCCACAGGGTAGAGGTGGGACAATTGGGTCCAACTGGATCTTTTCCTACTTATCACCATGGGGCAGAGGTTCATGGCAGGGAAGCCTCTGTGCTGGGCACTGCCCAGGTGTTGGCAGGTCTGGGTCCTGCCTGGCATAAGCTCTGCCTTTCGTCTTTCCCACTGGTGATGGCTACACTCCTCTTTGAACTAACTGGACATCGGTCCAGGCAGATGCTCAGCAGCTAAAACTAAACAAAGTTAATCCCATTGTGTGAGGCTATCAGTGAGAGCCCAGCACCAAACGCAAAAGAAACGGTCTGGCTGGAGACTGGGGCTGATAACTGACCAAAACTGCACGAACACAGCAGAAAATCTGACTACAAATCCACCACTTTATGCTACAAATGTCTGGAACTGTCAGGGCCCACTGAGCTCTCCCTCCAGAGCAGCCGGCGGCGTGACGGGGACGTCCCCTTGCCCAGGGACACCTCTCCAAGGTTACCCCTCGAGGCTAAGACACCCTTTACCCAACACCAGGCATCGATGGGTTGGTAAGTGATGCTTTTTGCACGCATGTAACAGTTAAGATACAAATAGTCAGTTTACACGATAATCTCTGGGTCTCACACTAACTTTAAGTGTAGTAGAATATTGACCCAGAGTCCAACTGTACTTATTAAATATTTTTCACACCTAAATTTACTAATTAGAGCTCTATAAACTACTAGATCAGCTCTGTCTGGGCGACCTCTGACTCTTCTCTTGTGGCACACTGCCCCTCAGAGCCAAGGGCAGATAACATTTTTAGGGACTGGTGTGGGCACCATGTCCATGGAGAGCAGGTGGTGAAGGCTGCGCTGATGTGCGTGAGCCAAAGAGACGAGGGATGAAGGAGTGACTCCCCAGGAACTGGGAAGACTTCAAAACTGTTCAGTGTTGTAAGGTCAGGAGCAAAATGTAAAGGATGGCTTTTGTGAGCCGCCTGGCAGTGTGGAAGAGAGCATCCCTGCAGACAAATGCCCACATTAACCTGCCCCGTGCTCAGCACACGTGAGCCTGTCTGATGTTGGCAGTAAAATATTTCTGATCCCAATGCCACTTTAGGACCAGAGAGTTACAGAAACTAGAGATGGAAGGGAGCTGAAATAGTCATCCTGTTCCTCTACTCTTAATGAAGATCAGCTCTTCTTAAATCATTGCTGGCAGATGTCTGTCCACTCTGTTCTCTATCCCACTGATGGCAGAAAGGTTCACATTTTTTGTTGATGGGCTGTGTGCTGCTTTATCATCATTACCATCAGTAAGTTTCCCCCTAATTTCTACCATCTGTTTCCCTCGGTGTAATTCAAACCTGGCCTTCCTCATCCTAACTGATAGAGGGATGGAGGCCAGCTGTTGCCTTTCTTCTTTATAGGGTCTGGTACAGCATCTCCCCTTAATCATCTCCTCTTAGGCTTAGCAGGAGTCATGGATTGCAGCTATGAGGCACCAGCAACAGCTGAAAGACCCCATTCAGATCCCTCATCTATCATGACTAAGATGGAGCAGAGCAGAAGAGAACAAACAAGCTGGGAAGTGTTTTGAGTTAGAGGAGCTTTTTGGCCAGAGGAAGAGTGCGGCCCACGTGCAATGCAGTGCAGTCACCCCAGCGATAAGGGGGATGAGGAAGAAGAAAGGGATGCTGAGCTTCATCCTCGCTTCTGCCACCACCAGTGTTGGGGTGAAGAATCATAAAATGGTTTGGGTTGGAAGAAACCTTAAAGATCATCTAGTTCCAACCCCCCCTGCCATGGGCAGGGACACCCTCCACTACACCAGGTTGCTCAAAGCCCATTCCAACTTGACCTTGAACACTTCCAGGGATGGGGCAGCCACAGCTTTCCTTGGGAAGGAGCGGAGCTGTCGCAGGGGACGCTCAGCAGAGGCTCAGAGGCTGCCCCGACGAGGTTGATGCCATTTGGTGTCCGTCCAGGAGAAAAGGGCATCCAGGAAAGCACAGTTCATATAACACAGTCTGTCTCTGCCGTACGTTCCAATCCGTCCGAGAATTACTCAGGAGTGGAACAACTTGTTTTAATCATTAATTAACAGCAGTGAAATCGAGGAAAAACGTGGTCTGAATTTCAGGAACCAGCTGTGCTGCTTCAGCGGCTCCACGTGTGCTTGCTCGGTCAACGCTTTTGCGAGCAGCAGGACAGTTTGGAAGAACAAGCTGCGAACAAATCATGGGATTGAAATGCAACAATGTCTTTTGAGGAAGGAAAAGCTATTTTTCTGGGGATTCAGTAAGTTCCAGTAAAACTGTGGTCCACTACTGAACACCTTTGGCTGGAGGGATGTAGCACCCGAAGTCTCTTACCAGTTCATCTTCGCACTCGTCCCGTGCGAGACCCTCTTCCTCACCCTCGTCCCCGTTCAGCGGCTCCTCCGTGTTGGCCTCTGCCTCCGACGCTGTGTCTTCCTGTGAGATTTCGCTTTTGCTGCCTTCCACCTTCTTCCGTACCTCTGCGAGAGAAGAGCCAAGCCAGGGTCAGGGCAGGCAACGTCCGGAGCCCGACGACACTGACCCAGCGGGCCCCCAAATTCAGCCGGTAGGTGAATAATGGAGCTAGGGCTTGGTTTTTTCTGCAATGGGAAGTTTTGCTGATTTTGAGGAAGCTGCCTGAAAGTAACTCTGGAGAGGGCAGAGCAGGTCATTGTCTGCGTCCCTCTGGGGTGAGTGTAGGAGGCAGACAGAATGGGAATAGGAATAGGAATGGGAATAGGAACAGAACAGGAATAAGAACAGAATAGGAATAGAGTAGAATAGAACAGAACAGGAATGGAATGAATAGGAATAGAACAGAATAGACCAGGAATAGAATAGACCAGGAATAGCATCCGAATAACAGAACAAAAAAGCAAACTAAAAAAAAAAAAAAACTCTATGACAAAAGAAAAAAAAAAAAATCTCATCATTTTAAAAGCCAGTTCCGTAATCTGGGGAATTTTGGCATGTGATTTCAGCCTGTGATTCCACCCTGGAACCTGAGGGTCGACACTTCGCCGTCAGAGCCCAGAGGATGCTCTAAGCCCCGATGGTTTCAAGGCCAGTGCCAC